TTCACTCCCTTTGTATGTGCGTGTGTAAGTATAAGAAGATACGAATATCCCGGCCTCCACACTTGAGTGCTTATAACATATAGCCAACTGCGCCGTGAGCCTTCCCAAGCGAGAGAGAGAGAGGGAGAGAGAGAGAGGGATGAGAACATCACTTCAACCAAACCCAGCACGCAGCATACAACATCATAATATCTAGCACTTGTTTGTGTACGGTACCACGTATTCGATAACGGCTGACCATTTGACAACTTGCACTGTCAGTGCAAGAAGTCAAATGGTCAGCCGGTATCGAATATAAGATATACTCTCGGCTCGTAGCCAATCTCGGTGGGTCGTGAGTGTGTAGGGATCTCCGGGGCCAGACCCCTCGCCATGCGTTGCTGCTATTACCGTAAGTGTCGGAGAGATGGCACCCCCGTGTTAGCGTTTTCGTTTAGTATATTTCTCCACAAGTAGGAGGGTGCGAACCCCAACCGATTCCTCTCAGGAAAGCCCTCAACGAGATGTTTCCAAAACTTCCCTTTCGCCACTGGTACCCCCCTGGTTGTTGTGAAACACGCTAAATACAAAAAAACGCTGACACGGGGGTGCCATTTCTCCGACTCTTACGGCAATCGATAATTGTGCCTTGAAAGTGACCCACTGGGATTCGCACCCGTCCTTGTGTCCTTTAACGCCAAATGTTAAACCATTAGACCAATTCAGCGAGAATTTCCTTTACTGCATAATGTTAAACCATTAGACCAGTCAGCGACTGGTCTACTAGTCTAATGGTTTAGCATTTATTTGGCGTTAAAGGATACACGCACGGGTTCGAAGCCCAGTAGATCACTTTCAAGGCACCATTATCAACTAACAGCAGCAACGCATGGCGAGGGGTCCGCCCCCGGAGATCGCTGCACACATCACTGACCCACTGACGTCGGCTACGAGCCGAGAGTATAAGGGCTGACCACTTGACTACTTGCACAGTTAGCCTAACTATGCAAGTAGTCAAATGGTCAGCCCTTATCGAATATGGTCAGCCTTTATCGAATACCACGGCCGGTGCGCCGAGAGTACATAGAGCACTTTGGAGTCTCCGGCTTGCCTTACTGGCTAAATGTCATTGGGTACTGCTGTAAGACTTCATGAGTACGCCTGCCCTTCACCACCAGTGCTTCCTACAACACCTTGAGAGGTGGGTTGCCTTGAATGGATGGTCGAATGTGGGTGGCTCCTATCCGAGAAAAACGGACAAAGTCGCCGAGTTGATTGCCTTCACACAACCTAGAAGACCATCAACCTACACACCGTTCAAGGGATCAGCCCTCCGTGCCAAACGGCTCAGAATTAGCGGACTTGAACGAAGCGATACTGGTGGCCAGCGGTGAGGTTGTTAACACAAGTGTAGCTTGGGCACCGATTGCAACCTGTGGGATCGGGAAGGTGCACGCCGGTCTGCGGCGAATATCGTGTTGTGCCGTAACCCAACTATCACGGCGGGTCGGCAGCACAGTCTAAACGTGAAGGTCGTTCCCGACCTCCGCCCAACCTTCACACAGGTAGGTGGTGTGCTATATGCCTAACCTGCCCCTTTGGCCACCACCAACAGTGGGCTTCTGATTGTTCCCAGGCGGATTTTACGCCGACGTGGCCGACGAAAAGGTGGGAACTATACGAACAACCAAAATCTTTCAATGCATTGGGCGGGTATTCCCGACCAAAACCATCCTCAAAACAAAATCTCACCGTTCGTTGATTGTGTGTGCGATCTCCGGCCCGTAAGTTGGAAAGGCGAGCGATGTTGCACTCGGGCTACTCCTTTGTTTCACGCTCCGGTTGGGATCGCCGCTTCATCACCAGGCTACTTCTGCTCCAACTGATTTTGGTTGTGGGTGCGTTCTTCTGTCAAAACTCATGATGAGCATTTTTTTGTGCTCGCCGTGCGCAACAACGTTACTTTACCGCCTCTTTCAAGCCGACCACCGCGGCATCATCTGCTTGCTTAATCATCAATGCTTTCATCACGACCAGCCGAGAATGCACGCTCTGCTAGAGACAGGATCCATCAACGCTGATTTGTTGGCATGCAGACTGCATGGTGGCAGGGCTGTGACACACTTGAAATCGAGCCGTCATACAATCAACGGCGACAAAATAGGGGCTACGAGGAAGCAGATCATCACATACCAATGCGCGTGGATATTCCTGTCTCTGTTCAGTACTGCTGCTGTGAAAGGATATGTACAACAACGGAGGCACACATCCGGAGAAACAGCGCCGCTGGTTCGTCCTTGGATACTCTTGGATATTCTTGAATCCATCCGCAAGGAAGTTAATAGTACGCAGGTCACGTGAGAGTTCCCCCCTCCCCTCTGGAAAGCAGAAGAGTGCCTTAATACCCGTGAGATTGATCAATCAACGCGAAGAAAATGATGAACCTTATCGAAAAACGAGCTCAAGATTCGACCCCGTGGCTGCCGTTACGCAAGGACTATCGGCCAATAATAATGCATTATCAACGAGGTTAACCAGTAGCAAAATCTCGGGCATTTCGGTACGAAATCGAACAACAAGATTGGTCCCGTTCAATGAGATGGGTCGTCGAGGCCGTCGAAGGCTTCCAGGCCCTTTTCTATGTCGTGACGCGCTACGAGCGCCACCTTCAGCACCTCCTTGATCTGGTCGCGAAGCGCCAGAGCATCGAACCGGGAGGATAGAAGCACGTCGTCGGAAGCCCCGCACCAGTCCAGCATGTGTCGGAACACGCGATCTCGTACCCGAAAGTCCATGTACTGCGACGCGACTGCCAATGACGGCTCGAGGTGGTACACCTAATGATCACAGCAGTAGAAATGAAAAAAGTGGGTGCCAGGTTGTTGTTGTCTCCGCATTAAAAAAGTTCCGATCTCCCTATCCGCACTGACTGATCTAATTCTTGACGCGGTCGATTCCAGTGGTCACAGCCTATCTTCCCGTGAAAAATGTATACTCGAATAAAAAAGCGAGGTACGTTGGCTATTTGCCGCGTGATCTTCCCGTACAGCCATCCCAGCTGCCACCCATCGATATTCTGCATAAATATTTCGTCAGATCCACCGATTATTGCTCGGTAACACTGCTGTTTGAGTTCGCTCTACACCATGCATCACATGCTTACAATACAATTTGGCACGACTATTCGCCGGTGGTGAATCGATTGACTTGTTTCCTGTAGCCTCAGGACATGACCCTTCTATGTTTACTGTCGATGATGCCAGCTTATGTACTATGGGATATGAAGGGATTGACGTGGTCCACAGCAATCGTTGCGACCGAAGACATTGGCTGCATGCAACCGCAATAACAGCTGGTATGTGTGAGCATCTACGTTCAGCAGTCCTGGCAACCTACAAAGGACAACACAAGGGTTCGAAGTAACAAGGTTTTTCATGAGCGAATTGTAGCAGAGAGCAACTGGACCCAAACAACAGCAGCAGCACGCTGAGATCGTCTTATTGGCGCCCGGTTGCCCGCGAAGAAACCACGGGCTCCGATGCTGATTTGTGTACTACTGTACATTGATATTGTAAGTGTAGACAGCGTCCGCATCGACGTACTAACTGCGATAGTCTGTTCTGCGGAGTGTTTCGCTTTTGGTGCCAGACGCGGCATGAGACATCTCACTCAGCTACATATCAGTGCCCGGGATGAAATCGACAACAATTATGAACAGACCACATCCCGACAACCGAATCGGAGCTCAATGCCGTGCGTACCGAATATTCACCACTGCCCCATCTCGTTGCGTCATACGTCAAACGGTGTGCCTGGAGATAGCACGAGTATGTATCAAACATGCATACAAACCACACCCACTAACGAGGGCTTCGCTTGCCCACACATACCTGGTGCCAATGACGTGGCGGTATAAGAACAAGTTCCCCCGCCTCCTGTACCCCACAGACAGCGTGCTGCATGACCTCGTGCCCCTCTCCCGCTGTCGGCCAAGACGCCGTGCCTGCTCCGTGCTGGTAGAGGTCCACGTTGCTCTGCCATCCCGCCGAGACGTTGTGGGAGCCGAAGGCGTTCGGCGCCAAGCGGTAGGCTCCAAGAGAGGAATCCAGGTCGGCCAATGGAGGTAGGAACGTCCATAACTTCCGGCCTTCGAGAAGAACGTTCCAGCCCATCCACTCCATCGGGTCGCTGTGGAGAAACGAGCGCGCGCCCACACCGCCCACGATGGTACACAGGTTTTGGGGCCGGACGGAAGGAGGGAACAGCTGAAACTCGTCTGTCCCAAGGAGGTCCTGCGGCTTCTCGAGCAGGGCACCGAGTTCGGGGCGAGCTTGTGGAAAGTCGAGGAGGTGCTCGTCCAGCAGATACCTGACGCACACGGCGAACGAGAGTTGTGGGGCGTGCGTGGTGGCATGATGGCGGAACGGAGAGGTCTTCTCGCACAAGCAAGGTAGTCCCCACTATTGTTATGAGTGCGCGGGGAGCGTAGGTTGTTTCTGCTCGTGGGAATTTCGGGCGGAGCACGGGGCTCGCTTGGAGTATAACGCGCAATCTCCAGCCTTTCCAAAACCATTGGCACAGGGCAGAAGAAAATAGTGCGGCCTTGCATGGAAGTCCTTTGAGGGGCCTAGGCTATGCTACTAGCAAACGCCTGCTCACCAGCTATCGTTGTGTGTGCTCTCGTCCTGTAAGCCTTGCACAAAGTCCATGAGGCTTGCCTCGAACACCTCGCTGTGACCGCTCTCGTTGTCGCGTATTTGAAAAGCACAAGCTGCCTCCCCCAAGTCTTGCAGCAGCCCGTCGCACCACGACTCGCAGTCCGGCGAGGAAAGCACCCCTGTCAAGATGCACGGCCGGGAGAAGTCAACAAGGTCGGCCACTTGCGCTCGGGAGAGGCCGGTCACGTCTATTCGCGGTAACGAGGCCGGGACATAGCCATCATGGTCTGCTGTTGTCGAAGAAGCATGACCATCAGCATTCGATGCGGAGAGTGTGCCTGGTCTAGGCCTTCTCTTCGCGTGCGAGCTCAAAACGGCTCGGCGTCGTCTCCTTGCCCCACCGGCGACTGCGGCAGTCGCAGGGGGGACAGCCTGAAACCGTGTCGGGCTCTTCCCCTGCGGCAATATGTTGAAGGCCCGAGTTTCCACGAGGGTCATGGGTAGCCCTACGCCTAGCCACAGCATGGTCTTGAAGCCTGCTTTGTGGGCGCTATCGCCGTGCAGGGAAGAAGAGCGTACACTGGTACACCGCAGCGGTCGCGGGACTGTTGTGAACTGCTGCTGAAGGATGCGTGGCAAAACGCCTCCACGCGAATATTATTGGATTTCTCTTTTCACCCCCTGTTCGAGCGGTGGGCGGCCGTTCGGCCGTACATGCACAACTGAATTTTCTCCATGTCCCCATTAGACGACGAACATGCTGGGCGCTCATCTGTTCCATACTGCGCTTACGCACATTGTAGAAAGAGCCGGTGCGACCACTGCTTCATGTGCATACAAAACGGCTGACGAAGTATCTCGGCGCGCGAGTATACCACGATTTGTATTTGGTTGTGTGCATGAGAGGCCTCCTTCTCTGCGCTTTCGCTTCACATCAACAGCTTAGAGCATCGGTACGATCGGGCTGCCGTCAATATAGACCACATCAACCAATGTGGGTTTCCTCACAGAAACAAAGATGATGCTGTTGCTTAGGAGAAAAAAAAAAAAAAAGTCTGACATCTCAGTGACGCCGCTTCCACACTTCGGAGGCAAAGAAACGAGCTTCCATGGCCAAAGGCCAACCCCTCAATCGACACAAAATGCAGCCACTAGGAGCAAGGGGTAGGGGAACCCCAAAACCAAGGGAACCCGAAACCAAGGGAGTAGGGTCGATGCCCCCATGCGGGAGCTGAAGCACAAAATATATTTCTCACATCTACAGTAGTGTACCGCGAAGCCGACCGGGACATGCTGATCGCCGCGTCTTGGTCGGCACTGCCGGCCATCGTTAACATCAAACCCTTCTATTTCGCTGGATACTGCAAACCTCTCTTCAAGGCACCTTGCACCACATGGCATACCCGTCCCCAACATTGTCATAATACAAAACGCTCCAAAGACTAGAGAAAGGAGGAGTCCATTAGTGCTTCGAAATCGCTCCAAGAGGCACCACTCCTGTCATGACACTACCTGCCGCCCAGCTGCTGCTGCTGCGGCTGGTGTCTACTGCCGCCGCACGCGGCGTCTTAGGACAACCAGACTACTACATACATGTGCACGTTGTTCCACGCTAAGCTCCCCCTCTGCAACAAAGGCGTGGGAAGATCTCGGGAAAAAACAAGAGAAATCGGCGACCTCAACGGGCGGTATCCGATCCCACGAAGGGCATCGAGACCCCACACACCACATGAGACGACCACAGATGATGCTCGAGTCCTTCGCAGCAGCAGCAGTCCACAAGAGAACCCAGCCGTTGCAACGCCAACTCAAGAATAACACTGCTGTACGAAAAGACAAGAAGGCATGTCGTGGCAACATTCGATTCCCAACATCAAAACTAAAAGCCAGCCGTTGCAACGTCAACTCTAGATTAACACTGCTGTAAGAACAGACAACAAGGCAAAGTCGCGGCAACATTCGATTCCCAACATCAAAACCAAAAAAGCAGCAGATATGGAGGCTTAGTTCGTACACCGGCGCTTTCAGCCACCCGCCTGAAGCTCCAAAACCTGGGCCTGCAACGCCGCGATGCGCCCAGCCGACTGAGCGCGCGCGGTTGCGGCGGCCTCTTGGAGAGCCTGCCACAAGACAACGCCACCAATTCACGGCAAAACGGGATGAAAGGCAGATCTGTCAGCGAAACACGAAACAAATCGGCTAGATAATCAGACAACATACCGCACCATGAGCATGAGCGCATATCAGCATGAAAGCGCAATCGTAAGCGCGAAAAGAGGGGAGTGCAAAGGGTGTAATAGTCCGAGTCGAAACCACTTTCATGCAGTGCCAACACGAGCATCCGATTTCGTCGGCTTGGGGGTCGCAACCAAACACTGGTTTGCTGCATGACCATCAGCCGGAAACGGCGGACCTCTCGGCAGAGAAAGCAAACATGTCATCTTTCGTCGGCAGCAAGCAACGATTCGGGTTGATTCGTCCCGTTCGGCTACTTCGAAGCAAAGTCTCCACTCAACACCACGCAGAACGTAGCCATGTACGAGCACACGAGGGAAAATTGCTCGCAAACCGTTTAGCTGCTGGCCGCGTTTCGACAGCCAGAAACTTGTGCGCAAAATAAAACAAGCAATAAACCTTCTCATCGCTCTATCTTCGTCACTCAACAAGTGTGTGCGAGCGATTCAGTCCCAAAAATTGCGCGACGGGGTTGCGGACCCACGTCTGTAAGGGGGGAAGTTTGGAGCGCTAGCGGGATAACAAGTCGTCCGTTAGACTGCCGTCCACACCCTCGAAAGCCCCCGGACACAAGACGAAGGCTTAGATGTCACGTCTCACACAAGAAATAACAACCTGCTCAACCTCACGTTTTGCTTGTCGCTGGAAGCCTTGACCATGTATTCCTGAGTGAATCGCCTGAGTTCATCCGCCTCAGCGGCTAGCGCTAGCACGTCTTTCTCCAACTTCGCGACCTGCGCCTTACCGGCCGCCCCCGCATCGCCGCTCCTGTTGTCGTCGTCGTGGTTGTTTCGAAAATGACCAACACACAGAGAAAAAAATAGAATCTGTGCGACTAAAATTATAGCCAGGCGTCCACGGACAAGCGGCTACGTGGAAACAAAAGAAAGCTGCCACGAAGCCTGTTACAGCCTAACCGCCTCGACACTAAACAAATAACTTTCACGGAGAGAAAATCACTCCAAGTAGGACAAAAGCTGGCGTGCCGAACATGGAGCGGTTCACGAGAATGTTGACCCGTGGTTGAGTGGCCGTAGACTGGCAGGCCAGACCACAGAGAAAGGAGGCTCGCTCACCGGCTCATGTAGTCGAGGAAGCTTTTCTGCAGGCTCTCCCGCAGTTGCTCCTCCGCCGCAAGCCTCGCCTTTGCCCTGATGACAAAACGCGCGGGCAAGAATGGGACCGAACGTAACGGCAAGAGGCGGCGCGGGTGGCATGCCCAGCGGTTACGGCGACTGGGACCAAAAACGAAATGGCACAAAGGAGGACACAGAGATAACGCCTGGTCTGCGTCTGTACCCTGGGTAACGGTAGAGGCCCCGTAGAGCCACGGAGCTCCATCGGACTGCATGAGCCATCGAAGAGCAAATCATGGCGACTCCAAGATACTGGCCGATAAACGCGCCAGCACAACCATCACCGAGCTGGCCGTCAGCGCTCATCACTTGCACGTGTAAAAGAATGTACAGCATAACGGCTCAGTAAAATCTGCTCCTTCTCCAGACTCACAAAGATACACGAACCCCTGTACTTGTACGTGTAGAACAATGTACAGCAAATGGCTCAGCAAATCTGCTTTTGTCTCTGGATCCACAAAGACACAATTCACCTGGACAGCTCCACTTCTAGCTTAGCGTTGGACTGCTTGAGTTCGTTGCTCGCCTCGAGAGACTTCAAGAGGTAGTCCTGGAAACTTCGCCGGTTCGACACCACCTGCTCGAGACAGGCAGGTGAAGTCAGAAGGTGGACGATCATGGATGGCATAGGAAGGTCCCTTCAATACTTGGCAGCAGGAAAAGCGAACAGATATAAACTCGACATGGCTTTTCCCATGTTTTACGTTTCGATCGAAACAGCGAGGGACCGAACCATACTCTAGGGCGCACACGACGCAACACAGCAGGACGGAGCGGGTCATGGGCGGATGCATTGGGCTACCAAAACAAAGCATGGCAACAGTCACGTCAACAACCTTTCTCGCCCCCGACGAACGCACACAGAGAGGCACCAGCATCAGCGACGATGCACAGCCGCTCATCATACTACAACCCTCTCGCTTTCGTTCAATCTCACCATGCTCCTGAGCTCCGCAACATCGTCAGGCAAAAACTCGTCCGCTAGGGGGTCATCGCCCGCACCGCCGCTACCGGCAGAAGCCTCATCAGCAGCAGCCGTGGCGGTGGCGTCCAAGCCGCCGGCCGTGGCAAACCCAGCCGCTGCCCCCGCGACCGCGATCGCTCCCGCTTCTGCCCCCGCCACGCGCTCCTTCTCCTCGCTCCCCCACCGGGCCTCCCAGCCCGGACGCCCCAATCGGGCAGCGTAGGCAGGGTGCAAGTCCTCCGCGTCGGGCGACGCCGTTTTCCCGCTAGCTGCGGGAGAAACGGCGGTACAAGTCGCCGCGATCATCCTCGCCGGTTCCTCGGAGCCCCACCTAGTCTCCCACCCGGGCCTCTGTGCACGAGCTGCAACCAACCGGCATGTACACGGGACACGATTTTGATACGGGATGGGCAAGTGCGAGTCCACGCGTCAGAGTGGTGTGCGGGCCAGGCAGAAGAGAGGTCAGGGGGCGAAGATGATGGCTTATCATACACCACCCGTAGTAGCCCCTTCCCACACGGGCCTCTGCGCCAGGGCTAAAAAGGGAACGGGGGGTCCCGTACGGTGCACACACGCGCATGGGGAGTGGCGCCACAAGACAAGACAAGACAAGACACTCAAGAAACGAGAGGAGGGCTCGGAGTTGGTTAAAGAGTGGCGGAAGCGGATAAGGGGCCTGGGCCCGCACAAGAGCGGCGTGTGTGCCAAGTGCGTTTGCAGGGGTGGTGAGTAAGCGGGGGATCACGTACCACGGGAAGTAACCGGAATAAGCCGAAACGGTTGGTATGTCCCACACGTCGCGCAGGGGACAAACAAGACTTCACGGGTACCCTTGACCTTGGACGCATACCTCCGAAACGCGGACAACGCCCTCTCTCAAAGCTCAAAACGGCGCCTTCACATCGCCCCTGCTCACCTGCGTAGGCTGGGTGAACATCTGCCGGCGGGGAGGCTGCGGTGCTCTGCGCCTGAGCGCTAGCCGCGGGCCCGGGAGACGTAGGAGTTGCCGTATCCGCAGTCACCCTGGCTGGTTCCTCGGATCCCCACCTTTCCTCCCAACCGGGGCGCTGCGTACGAGCTGCAACACACGGCACAGGGCAGAGGCACGAGTTGAGACGGAATAGACACAGCGGAGTCGAGCAGCTTTGTAGGAGTCCACAAGTCAGCGTTGTACGGGGGTCGTGAAATTCTGGGGCGAAACCGGCCAAGATGATGGCTTCAACATTTACCACCTCCACTTGAACACCTCATGCAGCTCGATGAACAACAACGAAAAGCACGGGAGACGACTAGGCGATCGGGCAATGAAGCTATCAAGGGACTGACAGCAGAATTGTCCTCCTCATATGTTGAAGGTTACAACACATGTTTGAATGCACCATTTTCTCTCGACCATACATTTGTACATTTGCATTTTCCCCCCCAATCTAGACTTCAGTGGGTGTTGGCAAGGCGCTGTAAAACACGCCACCCCAAATGTAGCCCCCATAGTATGCGCTACCAAAGACGCGTGACGCATGGATGCGTGGAGTGAGGATTGCTTACGGAAACCTCACAGGTTGAGTGATGTAGGAGATTGCCGGACACATAGACGTGTTGAGTGATAATAGCTGTATACTGAAACCCCACGGAAAGGGGAGGTTTGAGATTGCCAGACACATAGACGGGTTGCGTGGGGATAGCTGCTGGAACCCCACGGGTTGAGTGATGTTGGAGTGCCGGACACATAGACGCGTTGAATGAGGATAGACACATATTGAACCTCACAGGTTGTTTGTATTGGAGATTGCGAGACACCTAGACGTGTTG